CCCCAAAACCCCAAAACCCCAAAACCCCAAAACCCCATAAAATAATATAAATTCACAACCATGGAGAGATTTAAATCCCAAAAATTTAAAGATGATGAAGATCTGGTGGATGAATCTGAAGAATCAGAGAAATCAGAGACTATGAATTCATTGGAGAAAGTACTCATGCTTGATTTCCCTGTTGAAAAACTGACAGAAAAATCTGAGGAATATTGGGAAGACTATACTAGTTATAATGTAAAGACTCCTAGTGAGGCTAATTCTTTAATAACCCCAATGGATAGGAAGGCAGGATCCCAACTAGGTATTTCTATGGCTGGAAGGATCTTTACCTCCCCTGTACCTGGATTTGGACAAACAGAGTCAGTGGTGTCTTTAAATTTAAAAATTCACAAGTTAGAAAGTATCATCAAATTTGAAAAATAAAAAGAACAGTCAGCTTCAACAAAGATTAGCACGCATTTACGCCAAATTTGAGAAGGAAAAGTAAGTTACTCTGAACTAATTTCTAGATAAAAATTTAGAAGCAAAGCACAAGAGAGAGTTTAAAAAGCAGCTGAAAGAAAAGACAGAATTGATGGAGCAATCTGTTTCTCAAAACCTAATGCAAATCAAAGAGCAGTTTGACGTCCAAAGATCAGAACTAGTGTACAAGAACATACTAATAAAATAAGATCATCAAATATCTTATCAGTCAGGAAATAAACATTTTTGAGTTAGATAATATGGTTAAAAACCAAAACAATTTCAGAAGTCCAATGGATATCAAGCTTAGCGAGGTCACTAACAAAACTGCAGATCAACTTTATGGAAAGGTTGAGCCTGATTTCTCGATTCTCAAAGATATCAGCAAAGTAGGCACTGAACAAATGGACATACTCCAAGAAACCCAATCTGAGCTAAAATATATCCATCGTGAGCTTGAGCTAGCCAAGCTAATCGCTGGCCAGACTCTAGAAAGTTATGATGAAATGAAAATAAACAGGGAGTATTACCAATTAATGCATGCCAAGGCTGTGAACGAGCTCAATATAGAGAAGAAGTAAGCACATTTCTTACCAAATAGTAAATACAAAGAAGCTATACTCAACACAAACAATGAGATTCAGAAAGCTAAGGACCAATTTGTAAGGCCCTGTTCTATAAAAATAGGAGAAGGAGAAATTAAATCTCACCAAAGAATTTACATTTGAGATATCCGTCAAAGATGAATTACTAAAGCGAAAATCAGAATATTGACAGACACTTAAATAAGGAGCTTATTTACACCAAGAATATTATCAAGAACCCCAGGATGTTTGAGAGTAGCCATAGAGCTATGAATTTTACACAATATGAGATCTATGATTTCAATAAGTCAAGAGATACCTCAGGTATGTTATTTATGAAGAAGTTATAGACCCCAAAACCAAAACATCATTTAAACCTCAGAAGACTAAGCAAAGCAATAAATTTTCAGAGTGAAGGAATAATCACCATTGATTTGCACTCAAGTTTGAAACAGCTCGGAGGAACCCAAAGTACTTAACTTCTCATCTCTAGAATCCTTCGTAAAATCTCTCCAATGCTTCGTGATAGGTCAAGGCATATCAGATTGAACAAGTCTAAAATTTTATCAACAGATAGGTCAACAGACCCAATTCATTTTAATCTTAGTCAGGAATCAATTAAGAAGATTCTTCAGAAAAAGGGTGCGAGTAGAGAACGTGAAATGATTTTCCAGAGGAGAAATCATAGTGTGATAGAATACATGCCTAAAGTGTTCAATATAAGCGAGGTGAACCATACTACTGATAATTCGAACAAAATCACACCTATCCAAGATCGTACGAAGAAATAAGAGAGATTAAGAGAGAAGGGAGGAAAGACAACTTATCTCTTAAAGCTTTTATTAATAAATTAGTTCTTTGGATTACTTTGTTTGAGAGCTGTTCTTCTAAGTTTTGAAGTAGGCTCCAATTGCTCAATGATTTCCTCTCATTTGTATTTTTCAGTAAAATATATCAAAATTATCTTAAATATACATTTTCAAATCTTGGTCCAAAAATAGGGGTTTTGGGGTTTTGGGGTTTTGGGG